ATCAATCACGTGATCCCCATGTGATCGATCGAGACGAGATTTTAGAAGTTAAGGAAAATGGTAAGTTTGGAATTTTTAGACTGACACAAGACGAAAGAGGCGGCAAGCATGCCACCATGACGGCCTTTCAAGGCGGCTCTGTTCCTCCAGTCGGTGTAGCCTTCCCATTTGGAGGCATCTTCTTGCATTTCAACTTCCTGCATTTGGAAATAGCCAAACAACAACAAAAATCAACCTTTAGAAATATGTTTGTTTCTCTAGCTAGATAGAAATTAACATCAGCACAAAATAATAAAACAATTTACACTTTTAGCAAATGAACGTTGGAAAATTATGAATTCAGAGAATGAAAAATATTATATGCTTGATGAAGAACTCACCATTTTCTCTATGTATCTCAAACTTTAAGGACGAGAAGCAAAGGAGATATTTGATATATAAGTGAATGTGAGAAGTGTTTTTCGGAATATAAAGAGAGGAGGTGAATGGTATTAAAGTATACTTGGGTATGGAGAAGGATAATTAAGACTTTCAAATTGCAAACTTTTTTCTTTTCGGATCAAATGAATAATATATCTCGTCCAAGAGTTAGAATGAAAATCACAACGAGGCATGATAAGGTAAACAGAATTTAAAAATTACCTGATTACCAAAATTAATGCCCAAATCAGATAATACTTCTGACCAATATACAAAATTAATTATAAAAACAAATCACATAAATTTTACAACTAATCGTTGACACATAAAACACAACTAACTACGTGTGCAAATTTTAGATAGATAATTATTTTGTATTCCTATATTAAGATTTAAAATTTAGTAAGTTTTATTTTATTTGACTTTTCCAAATTTATCACATATAGAAAATATGATGTGTCGTTTTATATTAAGTTTGCTGACATTTGTAAAACTGTTTCTCTAGTTTTTTATTTGAATCTAGACGAGATATAGTTAGCACATCTATGGATTGAATTCATTTTAAAGGAAGTTTAGCTTTGACTTTGATTTCTGTTATTTAAAGAAGGTTGCAACCAAATCCAGAAAGTTGAGGAGAATATAAAAGGTGGCGAGGGGAATCTAACCCATCCACTCAATGAGTTACAAAAAAGGGAATTCTAAGTGACCCAATGGATACAAATCTAATAACGTGTCAATAGTGTGAAAACCTAGTGATTTCTCTCCATGCTTTGCAAAACTGCCAAATGTCGAGAGCTTAACATATTTCTCTTATTGGCAAATGATTCCAATTTATTTGCCAAACGCTTAACAAATTTTTTATTTACAACAATTTTAAGATAACTATTATTGTTTTCTCAAGTAAGATGTCTTTTAATCCTTGAATTAATACAAAACAAAATTAAGATGGATAGAGATGAATTTTCTTAATTTTTATTTCAAAAATAAATGACATTCTATAAAATAAAAATAAATCTAATCAGCTGGCATTTTTAATAAAACGATAGTAGTTCTTCGACTGAGACTGTAAGCATCATTTTGTTGATATGTAATAACAATTTATTCTTTGAAACTATGTAACTTTATTAGCATGGAAATTAACGCCATTAATTTGAACAATTGTCGTCAAGTATAATAGTTTCGCTCTTTTCTCAAAAAAAAAAAAAATAATAATAATAGTTTCACCCAAGAAAAACGGTCTATTTGAACCAGAACTATTGTCGTCATGCACTTTTGTACCTTGTCTTTTATCCTTAGCCAATTTAAACTCGAACACATGATCTTAGTACCGATTAAGACCTTGACCAATTCATAGTTACTCAACGTTAACGGAACAGTGACGTAGACAAACAGCATGGTTTCATTTGTT